AAAGATGGATGGGTATTTTGGTAAACAAAATATCGTCGGCTGCCTCTGAGCGCATTCGAAGGTAACGAACTCACTGAAAGATTCGGAGGAATTTTCAGATTTCAGATGATGAATTCGGAGGTGCTGTCGAACGACCCAGAAGGACCGAAAAGTAAACAATTTCTGTGTTCGGAGGTTAATTCTGTGTTCGGAGTTTAGAGTTTTGAGTGGTGAAAAACTCTAGAACTCTTCTATAGATTGAGGTTTTTGGAGCTTTCATCTTATTCACAAAAAGATATATTGTGAGTTGGAAAAAGGTCATTTCTTTGTGAACGAAAGCCTTTTTAAAGAGGTATGTTGAGAGATTAGAGTTTCAACCAATCACCATCAACTTAGATTAACTAGTTTGAATAGGATTTACTTAACCTTATATTTTCATCCAGGCCTATCAATTATACCTGAAAATCCAAGGCCCTATCGATATGATATTCCATCCGGCTATCTCGAATTTAAGTGATGTATTTATGTAATCAGATAGGATTCAGACTTTATAATACACATCTGATTAATAATTGGATCAATTCGGATTTGACTCCATCCAATTCGAATAAAATCTGAATTCAGATACATTATAATTTTTATTGATTTTAATATATAAGTTTTATATAATTATATTTAAAATTATAAAAAAAATATATTTATAATAAATTTAGTATGTATATTTATATTAATTTATTATGTATAAAGTTGAAAAATAAATAAATTTTATTTTTGTATTTACAATAATTAAAAAGGAGCCGGTTAAATCCGAATCTGATCCGAGTCTATCAATATTCAAATTCGAATCCAAGGTCTTTGAATTCTACCAGATTTCAGATCGGATTTGAATGCAAGCCTATCAGAGTTGGATTTTTCTAAATCCAACCTAAATCCGATCGGATTATTGCCCTATTTTCATTTAGATCTCTTTCCATATAATTCAAAAAGTTTAGGAACTCTTTTTGTGGGTCCTACTTGAGTTCATCAAATATGGACTTTGTTTTGTAAAATTTGGCTTGGACAAGGCCTACTTAATTTGGACTTCAGATTCTTGTAAGTTGTAAGTTTGGACTTCCAAAATTAGCCAATTTGTGATGTGTGAGAAAATTTTTATGTGCCTACAAATGCCTCCTTGCATTAACACTTTCTATGTGTAAGAAGTAGACAATGCTCGATATATGAACAAGAGACTTCAAAGTCAAAACTTGTATTGAATAACAATGTTATTGTTGATATCTCATTGTGGAAGTTTTGCTTGTAAGAAATCACATAACTATGCTTACTTACGTTGCAAAGTCTTCTCTTAGAGCGCAGAGCTCTTGGCAAGTTAGCAACAAACATATTGATTGGTGACTATGACCATAAGTATGACAATATGTCAAGGTGGTGGCAGTAGTAAATGTTGACCTTATGTGTTTTGATGGTAACAAATTTACTAAGAGTATTAATAGTTAAAGTACAAGTGTGCAATTGTATCATATACATCCTTAGTTGAACTTGAATGACTTGATGAAGTCATAGATGGTCTAAGAAGAGTGGTTGTATCGAATGATGAACTAAACAATCTCCAAGGTTGAACTTGAAGGACTTTATGAAGTCATAGATGAACTAAGAGGAGTAGTTGTATCAAATGATAAACTAAACAATCTCCAAGCAAAAACCATGCTACCAATCACTGATGAATTGAACACGATGAAAGGTTTGGATAGGACCTTTAAGTCTATCCGATGAAAGGTCTTATTAGCACTTGAGAAATCCAACTGTTGCAAAGGTTTTGTTGACACATAGAAAGTTCAACTGGTGTAAAGGTTTTACTGACACCTAGGAATCTAGCTGATTTAATGGAGGTGTGCATGGGGAGAGGTCATAAGCCTAGTTTGGCGGATCCTCTATAAAATCATATGTGTGCATTTCATTGTACTTTCTTTGATTTGATTTCTATCATTGATACTAATATTTTTCATTTTATTGCACACTACATTCTTATTCTCTACCTTTATCATATTTCATTAGTTTTGCGAAGGCTTTGGTTGGGGAGTAAACTTTTAGAACCCGATTCTCCCCTTCTTAGATTAGGTTATTTGGGCAACAAGTGGTATAAGAGAAAGCTTCACCATAGGTAAAATCTTAATTGCTAGGTGAGGTATAGTAATGGCCACCCAAGGTAGATCATCCTATTCTAAGGGGTACTCCATTAGTTGTTTTCTATTCATGCAAATTACCATGGCGTGGACTAGTGGTTGTTGTATTGTATGTAACCATGCAAGGGACCTGTCAATGGTGCTAGGATCTACCAGAGCCGATTGGATTTTGCTAAAATTGAGAGTAAAATACTATTTTACAGATGCCTGTGCCATTGGTTTTATCATCCACCAAAATCACAACACAAAAACACACACAAACAACTTAAAATAAAATGAAAATTTTGAGTATTGATCTTAAAGCTATCTTCTGTTTACCCAAAACTTTTTTTTGTTCACCCTTGGCTCTCCCACTCAAATCCATACGGGCTTCCCCCTTCTCTACCATGTCTTCACACTATCACCACCACCATTATTACTAGTATCAATACTAGAACAACTGCTAACCCAACAATAATAGTTGCTATTGTTCCTATAGTTAGATCTCATCCCATCAATCTTCTGCCCTATCTTCTCAGTCTCCACCATCCATAGACCCTCTTGTTCAGGCAATCACTACTCAACTCCTTTAGTCTTCATAGATGCATCCCACTACCTCAGACCCCAACTACGACAACACCACTAGCAACACAAGAAACAATAGCAACAAGAGCACCTCTAAAACCAACAAGCCCAGACTCTATAATGGTGGGAGATATGAGCCACTAATTTTTCCCCTAAAACTAAGACAAGGGCCACTAATTTTCACCATAAAATTTAAAAGAAACTAAAGAGATGATGGATAAAATAGTCGTTAGTAGGATGCTAACAACAAGAAGGTTTGGTGCTTGCATTTTTGACAAATTTATTCAAATGTTGTAGGTTTATTCAAACGTTTCATTTTGAAAATTTAAAGAAGAATGATGGATAAAATAATCGTTAGTAAGATGCTAACAACGGGAAGGATTTAATCAATTATTTGAAAACTTAGAGGTACTTTAAATTAATTCATAAACAATAGAGATAAATAAGTCAAATTCCTAAAACTTAGGGATACCTTAAGAAATATGCCCTTTTCATTTTTTTAAAGATAAATTACAAAGGCCCCCCTTTACTTTATTTTGCACAAAGACCCCCTGTAGTATGACCTTGAGACAAAGACCTCCTTCCCTTCCATCAAAAAATGAGAAGTCCACGGTTACAATATTTGAAGTTTCTGGAGTATTAATCTTCAAGGCTTGAATGAACGCAAACTTACCGAATTTCTTCAACTTGTCTGAGCCAATCATTCCAGTGAAGTTGTTTACAGAGACGTTCAAGAACTTAAGTGTAGGAAAATCAAATGGGAAGCTTCCATTCATGACATTGTTGGAAATGTCAAGGTACTACAGCGAGCGAAGATTGGCGATGGGTTCCAAGCTCCCTAAAATGTTGCAACTTGAGAGGTCGAGATGTTCGAGCCTCGCAAGGTTCTCCACCCTAGAAGGCAAAACTCTCAGTTCGTTGTGCGAGAGGTTAAGTACTTGGAGGTTCGAGAATCCCGGCAGATGGACCAAGTTGGTGAACCTATTGTGCGAGAGATTGAGCTTCTGAACCGACGACAACAACAAAGTCGAATTGGTTTTTGAAGTGGGGCAGAGACCAACATTTCTTCCAAGATGATTCATGGTGAGATTGACTTCGACGAGGCTCGGCATCGACTAGAACCAACCTGGAATAGACCCTTGTAGTTTATTGTAGGATAGATCCATATACTGTAACTTGGATAGATTACGAAGAAAATTCCATGAAACAAGTCCGCTCAGATTTCTTCCCGGAAGCTTTATTTCCCTAACTAGAGGATTCGAGCAGTTCCCTCTCTAGATTCGAAAAGCGACAAGTCAAATCCGGCAACGGAGTGAAAGGCTCGGGAGATTAACTCCCAGTCTGTAGTATTACAACTAGTACTAGGTGCTCCACCCACCTTTAACGCGTTCGGTATACAAAGAAAATGGGGACTCGGGAATCTAAAGCATCAACTATCTAAACGCTAAAGATCAGCAAGATCCTGTGCACGCCAACTGTTCGATCGAGTTCAGTCTAGATTAAGATTAGCGATCGAAGATCAGTTATCGCATGTGTGGCTTTTGATTGTACAAACAAAAACAAACAAAATAATTCTCATCTTCTTCACAAAAAACGTACGTCTTATAGATTGTCGACATGTTTTGCGACATGTTTTGCGACAATCTATAAGAATAAGCAACCGTCGTAGCTACCACCACTACTGGCCAACTCCCGGACTTGGGCCGGATTTCTTTATCCCTTCCATCAAGCAGTTAACGTACTCTGCAAAACGGTTCCCCTTCTCTCCAGAATTCTTGATTGCCTCGAGATTCTTCCATGCATCCATGCTGTTTTGGATTGCTTAATGGTCGGGCTTGTGTGGTGGAGAAGAGCAAGGCAATGGAGCCCAACAAGAGAATAATTAAGAGAAGAAAGCGGCCAAGGGGAATTAGTCGTTGCAACGAGTTGTGGCGGCTATGGTTGAGAGAACGAAAAACAGAGGAAAGCGTGAGAGGAACGAAAAACAGAGGAAAGCGTGGGAAGAAGAAAGAGAGGAATGGAAAGAGGTAGAAGGGATTACCGCCATTGTTGTTCGTGACATTGGGGAAGATGACAATGTTTTTCTTCCAATTGTTCGAATAATGAAAGGGGGTCTTTGTCTCACAGTCATATAAGAAAGTCTTTATCGCAAAACAAAGTAAGGGGGTCTTTGTCACAGACCCCATAATACAGGGGTCTTTGTGATTTACCCTTTTTCTAATTGAAATCAATCAATATCGGACCTAGGTGCATCCGATCCGAATACTATCCGATATGCCTACTACGAGAAGTTTAGGTAGGGTTTTTCAGAGGTTTTAGAGGCTAACGTACCTTCGAGCGATGAACGATGGTTGATGGACCATGCTCGCGCCAAGCCTGCCTTCTCTCTCAAAAAATCTCAAAATATCAGTTCCGCACGAACCAGTTTTCTTGGGGAATTGGAATTTCCCATGTAATCTGCAATTTCCTGGAAGCATCTATCCTTCTCCTTCTAAAACTTATTTAAAATTCGAAAGATTCAATTATTCTCTTCTCTTCAATCGACTCTCAGACACCCGTCAACGAGCTTCTATCGTCGAACATGGCGGGAACTCCGACGACGAGGAACTGGTTCTCGAGGCACGTGAAGCTGTGGCTGAGGTTCTGCAAGAAGGTGGGGTATCCAAACAAGAGTCGCTTGACATCGTGTCAAATTCACCGAAGTATGTCAAGATGCTGATTGATGGTGTTCATGATTTGGACGAACATTCACTCTGGAAGTCATGGAGTGCTGAGGGAGAAGATGTGGAGAGTCTTTCTCTTAAGAAGAAGGTGTTTTACATGGCCAAGGAGAAGGGAGATAACGGTATGCTTCCGTTCTTGGAGAGCATTGGACTGAACCCTATGGTATCGACGCATGTCGCACGGTATCTCTCCTCAGAGAAGCTTCCAAATCTCATTAATAAGGTATCGCCACAATCTTCATGGAGATTGGACAATATTGATTAGTTTCTCTGTAGGTATTGTATATTATAATGTGTGGAACGGGGCTAAAATCAAATTCTGGACTGACCTTTGGTGGGGAGAAAACACATTGGCTAACACTTAGCCCCGCTTGTTTAATCTCTCCCAAAACCAAGAAGCCACCATAGATTCCTGTCTATCACATTCGCCTCCTATAACAAGCCGGAACCTAAATTTAAGGAACTCTTAAGGGACGTAGAGATTGATGAACTTGCAGATCTGTTAAATGTCTTAAGAGAGGTCTATTTTTCCCATCAAACCAAGACTAAGGAATCTAGAAGCTCCACCCTGCCGGAAAGTTCTCAACTAAATCTTTTCTCAGGGCCTTTGGTCGGGTGAGACAAACTCCGGGTTCCCTCGTAGAAGAGTTTGGATTGCCCACATCCTTCATAGAGTTTCATTTTTTTTTTTTTTGTGTGGGAGGCTTGCTTGAAAGGGAAAAACACGCTATTTATTACAGAAAAAACAGAAAGGTAGATTGTGTATCTCCCTCCCATGTCTGCACCCTTTTTCTCAGCAATGGTGAGTCAGCTGAGCATCTCCTTCTACATTGTTCAGAAACAAGGAAGATCTGGCGTCATTTTTTAAATCTTGTTGGTACACGATGGCTCAAGCAATAATGTGGAGTGTTTGGGAAGAACAAAACAGTCGCATTTTTGACAACAAAGCTAGATCCATGGAAGACATGATTTCTCATTTAATATACGTGTGCAATTTGTGGGTGCTGAATTCAGAGAGTTTGAAAGGAATGACTATGAATATGCTTCAGCAGAATGTGGTGGAAATATTGTTCTCTTCTCCCAGTATTTTAAGAGTTAAAAGCCTTCCCCAACAAGAGAAAAGGAGGGGGTGACTCTGTACTTTGATGGAAGTGCAACTGGAAACCTGGGAACAGTAGGAATAGGCGGTGTGTTTAAGAGGGATGAAATCCCTATGTGGGCCTTTAGTGAACTAATTGGGACTGCAGACTCCACAGCAGCTGAAGTTTTAGCTGTTCTAATGGGTCTCCGTATCACAAGAGATCTAGACTTGACTGATCTAGTAGTCAAAGGTGACTCTAGCAACATGGTAAAATGGCTTTGGGAGAAGGAAGGCAGGCCTTGGAGATTGGCTCGCTACTTGGATGAGGCTAGAGATCTTTTGAAATCCTTGAATGCAAATTTAATCTGGATTCCTAGGGAGTTAAACTCTGTAGCAGATAGTTTAGCCAAATCTGGTGTGCACAGGGGAAGCTTGTGTGGTGATAGAATTATGCCTTTGTAACCTGTATATAGCTCTCTTCCATTGTACATCATCTCATGTACTCTTCTTTGCTTTCTTTCTATAACAAGTTACTCTTTTCCTCAAAAGTGATACCTTGAGTAAAAGGAATTTGCAATTTGATAACAAAAATTAACTTTTCGATTTTTGATTATGCGCCGTAATTTATGTGAATCATGGGAAATCAAAGCTGCTTATTTGTGTGGTTATTTAACTTTGGTATCTCAACTCCCTCAATAAAGCCTTACCCCAACTATACGGGGTCAGTTACATGAACCCTGTTAATGCCCTTTTACTGTATTGGGTGGGTGCCCTGCCCATTGTTAAGTTATGGGCCCTCAATTCGTTTCTCACTACTTCAACCTGTGGACTTTTTTTGCCTGCTCCTACCTCTTCTACACCCCTCAACTTGCAAACTTATGTAACTGTAAACTATCCTTGAAAAATGTTTTGAGAGAAATGGATAGACATCACTTTAAAGCAAGTTTCCCACCCTCTTGTATAGCAGCAGGGTTAAGCTCACAAAGTAGGAAATGGTTTTCAAAATGTGAAGTTCTAACGCTTATCATGGAATGCTATTTTAACATAGTGTATATTGTATTTCTCATTCAATGTAGACCTTTAGAATGTGAAGGAAAGTTATCAGTTTTGAAGTTTGGTTTAGAGCCAGTGAATCAACTTCTATTGTTAATTACTATTTTTAATTTGTTTTCTTCTTGTAATCATTTATCATTTTCTATGTGCTGCTTGATTCTTTGTTTGGTTAGTCAGGCCCGTTCTTATTTTACATGTGTCATATATAGGTTAAATATATGAAGGAAATATTATTTTCTAGCAATGATGATGAAGTGGTTGTTGGGAAGAATGCACGTCGCATGATGATAAACCTATCAATTTCCATTGATGAGGATGTTCAGCAAACATTATCATTTTTTGAAAAGGTCTAGTATGACTTGATGCTTCTTTATAACTTTTTTTTTTTTTTAACTTTTGGTTTTCTACATTCATAAGGACAAGTAACAAACTTTATCTTTTTTTCTCCTCCTGATAACATCTTTAGTTGTTCCAGGTGCCTACTGATGTCATTTTCATTGAGATGGCATTTTCATTATCTTTTCTCAAATTTATTCTTGTCTAGCTAAAATCTTGTATGTACATTATTTTTCTACATATTGAAGTGAATGTTATGTTTAATGGTGTAGATGGAAGCAAAGCGTGGAGGGCTGAACATGCTGGATTCCAAAGATGTCTCTTTTCAATACTTTGTTGAATCATTTCCTCGTTTTCTTATGCTACCAGTGGAATACCATTTGAAGCTTTTGGTTGAATTTTTTCAAGATATTGGAGTCCCCAAAGAACTCACTAGAGTTGTAATTTTGTTATTTCCTCCAATTATTTTCTATGACATTGAGAAGGACATTAAACCAAGAATAAAGGCTTTTGAAAAGGTACTTAAACATATGCTATGGTTTTACACATTTTTCAATAGATGATGCAGTTTTAGATGTCTATTATATTAAGGATTGTAGTCAATTACAGTAGGTATGCATGCCGTTCAAGTTTAATGAACCTTCTGCATTCATTTATGGTTAAAATGTGATATTCTTATTTTGCTATATGCTGAAATAGAAGTGAACCTTTTGAGTAAGAGCTTTAGTGGATCTTGTTTCCAATGTTTTTGATAGCGAGACTGGAAATTGGACCAGAAAGCCGAGTGGTTCATGGTTTTCCAGTTTAATGGGGTGCTTTAATTGTAAAATTGCCAAAATTGTTTTGAATATTGAACCTGGAAACAACAACCAATTCCTGGGTTTTCCAGTTTAACTGCTCAGTTTGGTTTTCAAAGGAGTACTTGTTTTTCCATCATCATCTAAACCTTGTCTCCCAACTGTATAGGGTCGCCTACATAAATCCTGTTTTGCCATTCTGTTCTGTTCAGTGCCAAACCCATCATCAAATTTTGGGCACTTAAATCATTTCATGCTACTTCCACCCAAAGTTCTATTTGGTCTGCCCCTAGCTCTTCTAGTCCATTCAACTTGTAATACGTCACCTCTAATGGGTGCTGTAGATGGTCTTCTATGCATGTGATCAGAACACCTCAGTCTACTTTCTCTCATTTTATCATCCATTGGAGCTACTCCTAGGTTCCTTCAGATGACTTCATTTATGACCCTATCGTTTCTTGTTTCTCCATCTTGTTGTATATATATTGATAGGTAAAATGGGGGTGGAAGCTAAGAGACAGAGAAAGCACCCCGATGACTAGAACCTTCCATTCACTATTCTCTGTCATGTTATATCTCATGCACTTAATGCAGGTTTACTTTGATGCCTGAAACCATTTTTGACTGCATAGTTGCTAGTAGGCGAAGTTATAAAATTTTCTTTAGGTTCTGTTTGGGAAGGATAAAAATACAAATATAAACAGTGCAATGTACTAAGCATATTTGTATTTGCACTCTTCCCAAATGGAGTCTTAGGCTTCACAAGTTGGTGAGAAATACAACACCTTACCACTTTTGCGTAGATCAGGCTTCATCTGACTGACTTGCATTTGGAACATGATACTTGTTGCAGCAAAATGTTTTCGTTATTTGAAACAGTTTCTTTTAGTTAATATAGATATAGCTTGGCACGCCGGGGTAGGTGCAGTACTAGGACGAGAGACCTATGAAGTTGTTTTGGATAAAATTAATTGCTGAAGCTAAATGTGGTAAGCAACCTATGAGACCTAGATATGGATATATACACATATTGGGAATGGGCATACAACTATCCATCTTCTAAGATCTTGGACACATGTATGGGTGCAATTGTCTCATTTAATATGCCTATGGATTCTATATCTAGTTTTTGAAGTTAAATGCCATATCTCAATACTTAATATCTAACATATTTTAAAAGTGCCAATGCTATGAAGTATGCTTAAGAAGTATTAATGCAGTATCAATTGCTGGATCCTCCTATAGGAAACAAAAACCCCTTGAGGTGTGGTCTTCCCCAATGGCTGGGTCGTTGAAATTGAACTTTGATGGTTGTAGTCTAGGCAGTTCAGGTCCGTCTGGAATTGGAAGAGTAATTAGAGATGAGGATGGCACTATAAGGGCTTTGTTTTCAGGTCCAATTGTACAAGGTGATGCTGTAACTGCAGAATTTTTTGCTGCAGTATTTGGGTAAAAATAGCTAGATACATGGGAGCAGAAAGATTGGTTCTTGAAGGTGACATGAAACTGGTAGTGAGGTGGTTAAAGAAAGGTGATAGTGATTTGGAAGTTTAGAAATGAATACAGGCGCTTCAAATGGCTTTCAAGAGATATGATAATTCAAATCGAGTGGGTTCGGACATCTGCCAATAGTTTAGCAAGACAAGGAGTAAATAGACAACTGATGTACTGGGCTCAGTTGTAATAAATGCTGTGATACAGCTGGGTGGGTTTATCTTGTATTGGGTTAGACAGTTTCTTCACAATTTCTGGTTGTAATGTCTCTTTTTTATTAATGAATGGATGGATTTTTGTGTTGCTGATAGAAGAAAAAAATTAATGCAATATCTTGTGCTCTATCAAGTGCATATTTGTGTCTGAATGAAAAGACTAGGGGTGTTAACTTAGGTGTATCATTGTCTCTCTCTCATCCTTTGTTGAAGAAAGCCCCTTCGACTGAAACGACTATGGCAGGGCTTGCTTGAAGACCGAGGCTAGTATTCTACTCAAGCAGTTCTGATCGTCCAAACCCAAGGTATGGCAGGAGCAAAGAAGAAGAAGAAGAAGAGTTTGACTTAGACTGGATTAAGGGGAAAAATCCGATGAGAAAGCTTATGGTATCCGAATTCGATTCGATTATGTCGAATATCGAATTTTCGAATACCGTTGACACCCCTACTTGGCAATGTTTGTTTAGACCCTTCTTCTTCTTCTTCTTCTTCTTCTTCTTCTTCTTCTTCTTCTTCTGATAAGAGAGGTGATGTGCTTGGGCCTTTCCCTGTGTGAGAAGTTTGGACCAAGCCTATTCCCCCCAAAATAGCTGTCTTTTGTTGGGAGGTGTATCATGAAAAGATTAATACTTTGGAAAGGAGAGAAATATTCAGAACGTAAAGGATTGCATTTTGACCAGGGCAATCCATTGGCTGAGATCATTGGATTCCTTTAAAACATATTCCTTTGATGACATTTGGAGGAACTGGATTGCTGTGGCTAGTAGCAGTAACAGGAAGACAGGGTACCAGCTGTGTGGGTGTCTCCTTCGGAAGACTGGACAAAGCTGAATTTTGATGGTAGCAGCCAGGAAGTCCGGATCCATCAGGGATAAGTGGGGTGCTGAGAGATAAAGATAGTAATATATTAGCTTTGTTCTCAGGCTCCGTGGGTATAGGAGACTCTATTAGAGCTGAGCTTCTAGCAGCAGTACAAGGTATTCAGATTGCAGACCAGATAGGAGTTCAGAATTTGCTTATTGAAGGAGACTCCAAAGTCGTGGCTGGTTAAAAAATCCAGCTTCAGTTATTTGGTGCTACAGGGATCTTATGAGGAAAGCTAAGTGGTTTTCAAGGAACATGACTGTTAATTATCAGTGGGTGGGTAGAACAGCTAATACCATAGCGGATGGATTAGCTAAACAAGGGGTATCAAGGGAACATTTATTCTGGGCAGCGCTGTAAACTTTCTTTTCCTAGTCTGAGGTGCCTTTCCTTTGGGCAGGCTGTATTGTAATATCATTCTGATTATCATGAATAAATTTTCAATCATTTATAAAAAAAACTTGCAAAAGAAAATGTCTTTTTTGTGTCTATCCCCAAACTGGTGTATTTTATGCAAAACCCATAGTGAGGACTACTACCACTCACTGATTTCCTGCCCCTTCGCTATAGCTTTGTGGGATTGGATTTTTTATTGTTTGATTGTTGGTGGGTTCTACCATTGGAAGTAAAGTTGTTGTTTAGCTCGTCTACCTTTGTCTTCCCAGCAAAAAGGGGGAAATGTATGTGGGAATGCCTTAGAGCAGCCACATTGTGTACTATTTGGGAAAAAAGGAATGCTAGAACCTTTCTTGACAAGGAGAGAACCTTTTCAGCAGTGAAGGAGTGTATATTAACAAGAGCTATACATTGGCTGAGAACCCTAGACTCATTTAATCCTTTTTCCTTTGCTGACTTTTGGAGAAGCTAGCCTATAATAGCTAACTTATCCTCTGTAGAGAAGATGGGCCGAATGGCCCATAGGCTGTTTTATTCTTTTATTCTTTCTTACTGTTTATGTTCTTGTCTGTAATGGGCCTTACTCTGGGTCCATCCCTTCTATGTTATGTTTTGTGTAAATTCTTGCCCAAATAAGGTCCTCCTTGTAATTATTCAAAGTTTATCTTAATAAAATGGTGTTAGGGTGTTAGAGAGAGAGTAAGTTCGAAACTCTCATTCTCTAAACCCTCGTTGCCGAACTCTCAAGGTCTGTTTTCTTCATGGTATCAGAGCAGGCCTGAACTTCAGTATTCTAGGGCTGGAAGCTTCAGCTCGTGTTGCCTGATTCTTGGAGGTCATTGGAAGTTGCCCAAGACTCAAATTTCTTGGAGAAGTGGTTCGGTGGCCAGGAAGAATCAGAGAAAAAAAAGGGGAAACAGTTCGGTTCCTGATTTGAAGCTTAAATATTGTAAGTTGTGCTCAGATTTCTGGGTTATTTTTTCCTGTTCTGGACTGTTAAACTCCGAAGTTCCTTGGAAATAGTACAGCTATTCAGCTATCCTCTGATCAGGTTTAATCCAGAGATTTCTGGGTTGTTTTCATTTCTTTTTTGGACTGTCAAGTAGCCGAAATACCTCTGAAATCAGTACTGCTGTTTATTGTCCTTTTTGGATTGTTTTTGGGCCCCTGTACGGACTCTTCTTTGGGGCTGTTTTCATCTTTGACAGTGTGGTCTTCTCTACTGCCCACTCTGTGTTTGTAAAAAGGTCTCTTCGACAGTAGGGACTTGTAGAGAAGATGGGCTGAATGGCCCATAGGCTGTTTATTCTTTTTTGTTATTTATGTTTTTCTGTAATGGGCCTTATTAATGGGCCCATCCTGTCTATATTAAGTTCTTTGTAATTTCTTGCCCAACTAAGGGCCTCCTTGTAATTATTCAAATCTATCTTAATAAATTAGTGTTAGGGTGCTGAGAGAGAGTAGGTTCGAAACTCTCATTCTCAAACCCTCATTGCCGAACTCTCAAGCTCTCATCTCTTCAGTTTTCTTCATGGTATCAGAGCAGGCCTGAACTTCAATATTCTAGGGCTGGAAGCTTAGGCTCGTGTTGCTTGATTCTTGGAGGTCATTGGAAGTGCCCAAGACTAAAATCTCTTGGAGAAGTGATTTGGTGACTAGGAAGAATCAGAGAAAAAAAAAGAAGGGGAACAACTCGGTTCTGGTTTGAAGCTCGAAACTATAAGTTGTGCTCAGATTTCTGGGTTATTTTCT